CCGTCCTGGCTCTTCCGACTGCTAATCGAGATTTTCAGGATGTTGCCGTATTGACCGAAGAATTCGGGCTTGCGAAGTGTCTTGAGTAGTTCGTCCTCTCGCACTGTAGGTGTCAAACCGGTCACGTAAACCAGGTTCTTCTGAACGACCCGGACGCCGATGAGGTTTTTGCGGTTTTCCTTCTCAACCTCGCGCTTCTGAACCTCCTTCTGCTTTTGTTCCACAGCTCGCTTCTTCTGGTTCTTCTGGATGTTTGCTCGGAACTCGGCGACCCTAGTGTTTGTCAGTGTGGCGTCGACCAAGGTGGTAGGAGGGGTACACACTCTTCCGTAGTGACAACCTTCCACTGAATTGTCTTCTCGTCGTAAGGTCTTCGGCATGCAGGACACAGGCCGTTCATGTTGTTCTTGATATTGTTGAAGCAGAACTGGCACACCTATGAAACTGTTAGAGGTCGAGGTTCTTCGTCCGAGGCAGGAACGATGGAAAATGGAAGTCGCTGTCGCCGTACCTGGTAGCCGCAAGGGCATGGTCGGAAATTCCGATCTGAGAGGTCGAACTCCTCGATACATAACGGGCTGTAGTGGAGAGAGTCAGTTCACGATGCCCAATACCTCAAGGTCTCACGCATGGGTTGCACGCAAGCAAGATGCGCGCGAGGTCAGAAATAAGATATCATACCATGTATCATCCTCCTCGTCGATGAATGTGTCTTGGGGTGCCATGGCGACGATCTGTGGCAGTAGGTATATTTCGTGGGGTTGCGGGAAGGTTGGGTTTCGATTTGTGAGTGGAGGTGGTTAGGAGAGGGAAGTTGTTCAATACCAGACAGAGGTGAAGCCAAAGCCTTTCTCGGATGGGTCGTCTGCTGCACTAGAGCGTGGTGCCTTAGGTAAGATGGACCCACTGGTTGCCGTCACGTGCTGGTTACCAATGACAAGCCAATCAAGGGACCGAGAATATTGCAAGTCAGCAGAATTTAGATCCACCCCTCCCAGTCGCTTGGGCAATCGTGAAGGAAAGAACGCTCTTGAGTAACGGCAGGTGCGGTTTCTTGGATTCTTGAAAGGAAATCATAGATTTCAGGAAGGTGCTCAATATTGGCAATTGTATTTTACCTAAAACTTTGAGTCCTATTGAATTTGCTGCAAAGTTTTCAATCGTCAAGACACAGAGGTTGTGAGCACCTCGTCCAGCCAGTTTGCCGGCACCTTCAGGTCCGCATCGAGTGTCAAAAGTACCACCCTGGGGGTGGACCTACCGCCGGTTAGCTTCTTTCAATCCCCAAGCATCGCGAATGCACAGCATCATCAATCAACTTCCCCAGAGGCAACAAGCCCCCCAGCACTGCAACAATCGCAACAATGGCAACGAAGCTCTATCGTAGTAGAGCTCTGGCGGGCTTGCGCAACTGCCGCCCCAGCGAGATCCGATCTTTCTCAACCTCAATCCCTCAATTGGCCGGCTTCCCGACCGGCTATCCCAAGGATGCCGAAAACCTGAGGAAGTCTCCTCGCGAGCACATTGGCACCCTCAAGGCTCCTCTCATCAACCCTGCCGACAAGTACGGCTCCAAGGCCGATAACCTCCACAAATACGGCTCTTGGATCATGGGCTGCTTGCCCAAGTACGTCCAGCAGATCTCCGTCTGGAAGGACGAGCTCACCATCTACGTCTCTCCCTCGGGAATCATTCCCGTCTTCACCTTCCTCAAGTGTAAGTGTCAATTGATCCACGATATAGCGTCACTCTCATCTAACAATACGTAGACAACACTTCGGCCGAGTACACCCAGATTAGCGACATCACTGCCGTCGACTACCCGACCAGAGACCAGCGATTCGAGGTCATCTACAACCTTCTCAGTGTCCGCCACAACTCGCGCATCCGCGTCAAGACCTACGCCGACGAGGCGTCCCCCGTTCCCAGTGTCACTTCCCTCTTCGATGGAGCCAACTGGTACGAGCGTGAGGTCTACGATCTTTTCGGCGTCTTCTTCGCCGACCACCCCGATCTGCGCAGAATCATGACCGACTACGGTTTCGAGGGTCACCCCCTGCGAAAGGACTTCCCTCTTACTGGCTACACTGAGGTCAGATACGACGAGGAGAAGAAGCGCATCGTTACCGAGCCCCTTGAGCTTACCCAGGCCTTCCGCAACTTCGAGGGCGGCTCAAGTGCCTGGGAGGGAGTTGGACCTGGCACGGACAGACGCCCCGACACCTTCAAGCTGCCTACGCCGAAGCCAGAGGAGAAGAAGGAGGAGCCGAAGAAATAGATCAGAAGATTCTGATGTGTATATAACTGACTCTAGAATCTTCTTTGTTGTACAACCATTCTGCGTCCCATTATTTACTTGAACCTTATGTGGCTGCACTGAAATGCTGGTGAGGAGCGTGGGCCTTGCTGGCTCTGCGCCAGTGACTAGAACGCCTCCCGAAATTGTAACGGTTTTCGAGTCCCATGGTCCTGGAGAAGTCTCAGAAAACGGACTAAAAGCCTTGATTCAAAAAGGGACCCAATTTCGAGCATAAGACTGATCTTCCAAGGTCGACCAATTTGGACTTGGTACTGACTGTGTCACCCTCTTCCGCCTACGTTACGTTGGCTGTAAACCAGTGCTCAGAACGCGTCTTCGACCGAAATGGCATCGAGTATGTTTTCAGGTTACAGTGAAGCATGATCAGGTGCCTAATTCACGATTTCAAACCCAATCCAGCGAGGGAAGTCCAGAGTGAGCCATGATGTGACTACGTGCGTAAGTAAAGGACATGGCTACTTGTTGTCGAGGAGGTTATAAGGGAAAGTATCATGGCTCGATACCAGCACTTTTAACGGCTTGTTGCCTTGAACCGCGAGGGTACCAGACATGTCCCATGGTAACGGAGAAACCCCCCGAGTGCCACCCAAACTATCAACCCAAACTATCAACCCAACTTCTAAGGCCAACCCAGTGTTGCACCTGACGTTGGTTGTATTTCATTTCCTCATCATATATAAGGGCAACTGGTCTGCTACAAAGTCGTCAATGGTCCCTGGTTCCTACGTCCTCGTCACTCATCTCAGACTCAATATCTCTGCTCATCACCTCTCACTGAATACTCCGAAGACATCACGCTCTCCATACCAACTACTTCTCTCCTCAAACTTCACTCCACACTACAGCCAGGATGTTTGTATTTGCCGTTTCCAGGTCCCAGCTCTTGTCTGCGGACATGCTGGAGGAGTTGAGATACAAGGCCAAGATGCAATACCACCAAGCCCATGTCCTCGACCTCGCATCTTGTGACGTTGATCTTGAGGACCATATCAATGGCTACATTGAGGGATACTGCAAGCAGCAGACCTGCGCTACTACATCATCGTCTTCAGTCTCTCTCGCCTCAAACGACACTTCCACGAAGTCCAAGTCTAGGCTGAGGCGCTTTCTTCACCGTATCACCGGGAAGAAGCTCTAGATGAACAGTCTGCTCTCTCTCAGAGCCACCAAACAAGTCACACGTACACAACGACGGCCTGCTCCTAGTACAGTCAACGGGCCTCACAATCTCTTCAATTCGTTGAAGAGCTGTGAGATGGGTTCTCAAGGACTCACAAAGGGTCGATGTCATGCCCATAGGATCTTGAACTCTGAGACACGACATTGACCCTAAGGAAGGGATTCACATCCTCTAAACAACAGAAGACCTTCCCGCTCGAAGCATACTCTACCATGTCTCGGAGGCTCATGAACAATATCCGACAGAGAAAATACCAATCTCGACGATCGTCACCTCAAAGAAGCCAAGTCGGTCGGCCATCTCCTCCGATCATCAACACTCGAGTGCCAAGGCATCGGTGTGTCCGGAGCAAGAGCCTAACGGCCGAAAGAGCCCGGCACTTTTGTCAGCTCCATTGCGTCGTCGACCTCCCTTGAAATCGCGGAAAGGAATCTTTCTCACGCCAGGTGGTATTCATCAAGAACATCTCCAAGGAGCAAGTCATGTGTTGGAAACACTTGGAGCACTTCTACCACAACTGGCACTACTGCTTCCACTACTACTGCTGGTATAGACATCAGCAGGGCATAGCCTTTCGGCCGGCATGAAGCTCAACAATCGTATGATGAACTGCGTATATCTGAGTACTGAGGACAGAAGGAATTGGCGAAGCCCACCGATTCCTCCGAAGCACGAGCAGGTAGATGAGCTGTTTGAATTGCCCCATGCCGCCTTATAATTTCACCTCTTTCCACCAACGTTCAAACAACTACAACCACCACTGCTACAACTGCTGTCACCATTACTACAGTGAACAGACCATTAGAACGGCTATCGAGTGGGCTTTTGGGTATGGATAGATAGTAGTCTTCGCGATCATGCAGCGGTACAACTGCAAGCTTGACCCTGATCAGACCTCAGCGACGATCAAGGCTGCTGTCACGCAGTCCACCCAACCTAAGGCTGGTATTATCAACGCGAATAACCAGCTTGCTTGAGTGGGTTCTGAGAGATACAGGAGGCTTGATTAACCGTAACTGTTCATACTGTAATGAAATGATTTCAAACGATTCAATTGCGTGCTTGATTGTGGATCACACAAATTGAAGTTTCATGAGATAGCTTACCTTATCTACCTTGCCTTACGTTCAGTATGTGCCTTGCGCATGTTCAGAATTGTAAGTTGAATGAGTTGAGTGAAAGGCCAGGAACAGAGACTATATAATGCAGTTACCCAGCAAAAGGAGGCACTATCTAGCACCCACGCATTTCCCCGCCGCCCCGTTACATGCATGTGATGTCACCACGTCCCACACGCCACTACACGCGTAAATCAATCCCACACTCGAGTACGCGACGCGCCCTTTGGACTGAACGAGGTCTAGTCTCCGAGGAATTGCGCTGACACTCTGCCTTTGCGTCTGAGTCAACGTTGCACACAATTGCTGATATCAACGATCTGCGCGCTCTGGAAGCGATCAAGCTCAAGTCTTGCGGTGACGGTTTGCACCATTATCCAAGATGCCACCACAAACTCGCTCCAGCGGCCGGACTCCCGCCGCCGCCAACCCATCTCCCGATCGAGTCTATAAGTCTAGCAAGCCGGCAAAGCAGGCAAAGTTTCCGCATCGACGAACTGAAGTTCGAACGTATAGCGCTCGTAAACCAACCGCTCGAATTGCCAACCACCAGCAAAAAACCTTGACCCAGATGTTTGAGACCACGCGCTCGTCGCCCTTGCGCCTTGATCTATCCGACGAAGAGGAGGAGCCCAAGCCTAGGAAGAGAAGGAGAAAGACCATGGGAGACGAACCGACGCCAAGCTCATCCTTTCACACGCAAACGTTGACGCAAATGTCGCGAAGATCATCCGAGAAATCCACGGCAGAAGAGGAAGAGGAGGAGGACGTATGGCAATTCCAGCCCTCGGAGGATGAGGTCGAAAAGGACCAACCGGTGCTGCCCTCCGGCAACGACAAGGAGAACCAAGTGCCTGGCAAGAAGCAGTCGAGCAAACCGCCCAGCAGGACATCCTCCGTCGTTCCGCAGACGCCAACAAATAAACGCGTTATTTATGAGATTCCATCGTCTATAGGCAGCCCGCTTACCCCGATGCTGGCTAGGTACAGCCCGGCGCCAAAAAGGTCTCCCTTGAAAGACAAGTCCACAAACACAATGTCACCGATCCCGAAGCCCACAGCATCCGTCAAACGGCCACGAACTCTGACAGTCCAGGATTCTTATGCGACGACCGGTAGCCAGAGCTCGAGCCAAATCGTATCTCCCAGCAAAATGCCACTGCAGCCCACCAAAAATGTTCGCTTCATCACGCCCCATCCTACAGCCAGTCTAGCTCCCATGGAAGAAGATGAGGAAGTGGAGGGAGAGCGTGAAGTCAGCCCATCCCCTCGCAGGCCACAAAGGTCACCTCTGGTCGAGATTGCAGATTCTGAGGATGAATTCGATGATCTTGAAATCCTGGATGAGGAAGCTGAGGGGTACGAGGCCGTCGGCGAAGACACGCAATTTCAGATGGACCAGGTTCTTGCTTCATCCGAGGAGGAAGTAGCATCCAAAGAAGCGTCTCCTGCGGAGGAAGGCGACTCTGATAAGGAAAACGTCGCCCCAGCCGCCAAAGAGGATGATGACGAAGAGGATGAGGAGGACGCGACAGTGGTTCTATCGAAGCCGTTTGTGTTTCCCAAATTGTCGCGCGATGATTCGGACCGTAGAGAGACCGTGGAGGTCATCACGTCTTCACCAGAGCCTACACACGACAGTGGCTCCAGTGTTCTTAAGACAGCGAGCAGGGAAACCAACGACGAGTCCGTCTCTCAGACGACGCCCACACCGAGTCAGAAAACTCCCAAGGCTAAAGGAAAGGCGGCTGTCGAGACACCAAAGACACCAAAGACCCCTTACACCCAAGGACTAGAGAGCCAGCGGCTACCCTACAGCGTCATTCACGGCATGGGGCGACAGGGCGATCGGACCGACATCTTTATTTCCATACATCCCGAGCACATGGAGGCTATTGTTGCCGGCGAGAAGAACCACGAATTCCGCAATTACAGAATCCCCCACACTGTCACCCGCATGTGGCTTTACGTCACGAAGCCTGTTGCGGAACTGCGGTACATGGCCTGCTTCAGTGAGGCCAAATCGCCTGGTGAGATTGATGAGAACGGGGTCGGCAACGCGGAGTTCAATCAGAACAATGGTTCCAAGTTTGCGTATCATCTAAAGAAGGTCTTCCAGCTAAATGATCCAATGTCTTTACGGGAAATGATGGACCTGGATTGGCTTCACGGACCACCGCAAAAGTACAACTACGTGCCGCCCGCCGTCGTCGGACAGTTGATGGCCAACCTGCGTTGCTGTGTTGTCGGTAAAGACGGAGAAGAGGAAGACGATATCGCATCGGAGCCCGAGATCGGCAGGAAGGAGTTTTTGCCGGCAGCCGGAGGTCCTTCAGAGGAGCAGACGGTCTCCCAGGAGCTCGCCGAGCAACTCCGAAGCGACATTGAGCACTCCACCCAGCACCACTCCTCCGACGCCGACCTGCTGGTACCGTCAAGCCAGACCCCAACCAGGAACCGCGGCGGTCGCGGCGCTCGAAAGTTCGGCACAGAGCTCCCCCAATTCACCAAGCCAGCTCTGCCCCCGACGCCCCTCAGCCGCCCGCCCAATCCAACGCCGCGGCGGGCGGTCCGGCCCTCGCAGGCGACGACGGCAAGTCAGGCGTCGAGCCCCTCCCAGTCGCCCGTTAAGTTCAGGTCTGCGCCGCGGCGGCCGACGCGCTCGAACAACAACTCGAGCCTGCCCATCTTTGTGGACGACGAGGACGAGGACGATAGTCCCGTCCACCTGCCGCCGGGAACGTTCCAGATGGATTCCTCGCAGTTGCTGTCCAAGAGCCAGATGCTGCCTGAAAGTCTGCTACGTGATGACAGCGGTGACGAGGACGATATCATTGTGTTTGATTCAGATCAGGATGATGAGCTGTAGGAGCTCGGTTTCGATTTGCCTTTTGAGGTGTTTGTTACTCGATTGTAATCGGAGGGGGGGGGGGGTGTTGGCGATGTTATTGGTATTATTATTTTCAAGCGTTGGAGTTTGGATTGGCCTCGGCCGGCTTACAAGGGTTTGGGAAACGGGCAACAAAGAATGGACACAATGGCTGGGCTAGGCAGGTATGCAACGGTTATTATCAAGAGCATGATTATTGCTTCGCTATTAGTGGTAGAATTGAACCCGCTTGACGTTTTGCTCGAATCAATCTCCGAACTACTACTCCATGAGTTCCTCTTATGTGATTACCTTGCCTTGCTGCCAGAGTCCAACCGAGATCGAAAAGGATTACTCGCTTTTCTATCAGTAAACCTGCTAGCGAACTGTAGTGAAAGCTTTCGAAGTTGGCACAGTGAAAGCGGGCGCCGCGAGGGTTAACGATAGGGCTATAGATACCGTATTCTACGAGGTTACGGGCATCTAGGTTAATATCTTCAAAACAGGTCTACTGATGTTGTTATAGTTATAGTCAGAGTATAGGGGGAGGGGGAGGTGTTATGGTCGATATAGCCGGGTGTAAGAGGTGTTTAAGTTACGAAAAGGCCCTTAGATCCCAAAAGCAACTCTCCATCCCCCTCGTCTTCTCTTTAATCCTCATCATTGTCCTCCTTGTCCTCCTCTTTAGCTTCCTCCTCCTCCTCTTTCTCTATTACCTTCTCTCTAGCCTTTTATAGCGTTGGGAGCGTACACTTATTCGAACACGGCTTTGGGCTTACCCAGAAGACACGGGTTAAAGAAGTACCCCTATAATAACTAGGGACGCGATCCCGTCAACGTATTCATCCCATATACGACAACACACCACTGCCGAAGCCTATATGTACCCCCTCAACCCCGTTCCAGTCACTAGCCAGACGGCGCCCGTCTAGGTCGACGGGTCAGGTCAAACTGGCTAGGTGGTGGAGTGGTTCATGGTCAACAATCAATTATCTACATCAACCAGCCTACTCGACGACAGGCTTAGCGAGAGTACCCGAGTTCGAATCCCAGCATGAGCACTAAGAGATGTAGCCACACCGGTGGTGAACTCTTTTTGCATTTCTCTTTATATTAATCAGAGGTTGATTTCATGGTGATTAATGACGGATCCATCAGATGTCCCCTACCTCTGCTCATCCATCCCTCATCCCAGCCTAACCTGTCGCCACATCCTCAAGCACTCCTGCAAATCCCCACTTACCGACCCCTCCGCCGCACCACCGACGTCACGAATAACAGCAACTAACACACTCGCGAGCGCAAACATCTCAAGCGCCTTCGGCCCTTCTCTTAGCGCCTCGAGGTCCGACTTGCGCATCCCGCCGTTGTCGGCCCAGGCCTTCCACGCGTCGAGGACGGCGCAGAGGGCGGAGGTGAAGGCGCCGTCGAGAAGCATGCGGTGCAAGAGGCCCGCGGCAACGGAGCGGAGGGTGATGATGTCGTCTGTTGGTAAGTGGCCTTGTTGTTGGAGCCAGGGGAGGGTGTGTGTTGCCACGAGGGCGGCGTCCCATTTGGGGGATTGGATTGCTTCGTGGGCGCGGGTTTCGCGGCGCCGGGCGTCGAGGCGCATTCTGTCTCGTACTGCGGGTTTTCGATGTTAGTCCAGTACCTTTCCGTAAGGTAGATGGGAGGAAACGGGAAAGCCTACCGTCGTCCATGTGCTGATCAGACTCCTTGCGCATGCGCTCCCGTACAGCCTGCTCCCTCCGCACCGGATCCATCTGCTGCTCAGCCGCGATGGCATTCATCTGATCCCGCATCCGCCGGTGCAAGAGATCGAGGTTGTCCCGCGTGTCGTTGTGCGAGCTCGCCCACTCGGGCGTCTGGGTTCCGTCGACGACGCCCAGGACCTCGAGCACGCCGCAGGGGACGGAGGAGCCCCGCGCAAAGGCGAGGACGTCGTCCGGGATGCGGTAGTTCCACAGGATAGTCGCGCTCGAGGTGCCGTAGGCCGTGGCGGCGCTGGCGAACCACGTGCCGGCCGTGTGGCCTGGCCGGATGCGGACGTGCTCGATGTAGAGGCTCGTCGAGGGGTGGTCGGCGTCTTCTGGGATGGCGCTTATGAGGCCGTGGGAGGAGATTTTGCAGGCGATTGGGTTTTGGGCGTTGGATTTTGTGGCGCGAGATATGCTGGCGACGGAGGATGACGGGGATATCGTCTTCTTCTTGATGCTTCCGCTGTTCGTTTCTGGTTCTGCGTTGACGTCGTCGTTGTCACTCTTCTCATGATCCTGCTCAATGGTCGTGGCTGCTGGACTAGGGAGGGGTACGAGCCGGACCCAGTACGGGGGCAGAGATTCATGGCTCCTCGTGGTCCAGTGTGAGGACCAATTTACAGACAGCGAAAGATGACCGTCAGAGTCGTTCAGAGGCGCAATGGTGAGGGCATTATGCTGTCCATCAGGACTCTGCATCAGGGTACAGCCGACGGGAGTCCACAGCCCTGTGCTTCTGAGCAGCCTCCATCCGTGAGCATCGGGCACGGCGCCAAGATCCAGGAGGTAGCTGATCAGCTCGTCAAAGGTGACATCGACCTGCGGTTGCCGCAGCTGGTCTGCGTACTCGACCCTCTGCGTCTTGAGGCCGATGGTGTTGGTGCGCCAGTTGAAGGTCGTCCAAGTGCCGCCCGGGATGGAGGAAGGGTGGCGGGCGAGGGACCAGTACTCGTCGCGGTGATCGAAGCGGTCCCAGGGCGTGACAGCGTAGCGGGGGAGGTCGACCTCGATGACGCGATTCACGACGTCGGAGCGAGTGAGAGCTGTTAGGCGGGCATGACGGAGCATGCGCCTGATTCGAGATCGCGCGGCAAGTGTCGCAATGGTGTTGTAGAGGATTGGAAGGACACCGAGCACGGCTAGAGGAACACCAATATAGGTGATGATGTCTGTAGGTGTTGTACCCGAGTCGGAGGACATTGCCTTGAGGAGGAAACCCCGTATTCTGAAGCCTTTGGACTATGAGACAGAACGAAAAGATATCTCAATACAATTGAGATATGAAGGCAAGCAATGGCTGCCTTGTCAAACACTACAAACGTGAATATCTTTTTGTAAAGGGGATGATGCTATGGTGTCTCTGTGAATAAAGCCATTGGGAACTACCCCTTACCGACAGCCTTCAGCCGCATGGTTTTGGGAAGTTGTTGGCGATGGCTAATCACCAACCTTGCCTGTTTAGTCCTAAGTCGTGCCGTGTGCCTGTCGTCCACGCAGCCATTGTCTACAAGTGCCGGAGACTTGGGGCTTGCGGTTTCTTTATGAGAGCCACATCGTATAGCTCGTCTGATGAAGGCTGTGACAACATGGGACTGAAATAATAGTAGAAAGCTGAGTAGTGATGTTCGTTGGTTGACAGAGCGCAGCAAACAAATGACTCTGATTCGTAGAATCTCAGAAGGACTGATTTTCTCAAGGCTTCCCGAATCCGGCCGAGCACAGGTGAGCGAAATGCCGAAGGATGCAAGTACCTTGCTTACATGAGCTCATGCAGGTTGCTGACCTCGAAGCACATGAGTGATGACTCTACGAGTCGAGAGCTTTCTCGGCTAGCAGAACGTCTAGAGATGATGCGCCGAGATGTTCATTTCATTTGACTGACCGTCTCTTTTAGTTGAGTTCAGGGCATCTTGAGCAGAGCTGAGTTTGTCTGTGTACTAAGGTAATCATCAGGCTGTCCAGCTGTCAGCTCTTAGACACGATGAATTGGGACGAACGAGCCAACAACAAGGCGTGAACCACTGCGGGTAACACGGCATTATGAGAGACCGCCTGGGCTGCACCTGGGTGTGTTGTATGTGATGCCGTGCTGACTGCTTGCAGTTCTTGCAGGTTATTGAGATGGAGATGAAGGTGGAAGATGTGAGAAGGAGGAACCTTGGTCCCGTCAGCCCTAGACCCCGGCCGCTGGGCGATCCCGCCAGCAATGGAACCTGGAAAACTCCCCGCGGGCCGCGTGTTCCAGGTTCCCTGCCTGTACGTGTAGGCACTTCCCAAAGTCAGAGCACTATGATACCTTTGCAGCAGGGCCTGGACGCCCTGCTCGTCTGGACAGTGGAGTGGGCTTGATGTTAAATTAGGTAACCCACGGGCAATGGGGCAGGCGTTCGGGGCCCCGTAAGGCCTGTGGGCGCCCGTTGACACCAAACATTGGCGCTAAATGCAGGGGCACGTCTGCCAAGCCGCTATCCGACGGAGCACTGGGGACCTTCAAAACCGACAACATTCCTCCCTCACTTCCATCGCACTTGTTGCATTCCACAACCGAACACCACACAACACCACACCAAACTCGCTCGTGTTGCGTCACTCTCGCTAACATCATCGATTCGAATCGCCTCGACTCGACACAAATATTGGCACCCGCGCATCGTCTCTGCTCCGGACCGACGACAATCGCCCTGAGCGCGAGTATGCGCCGAGGACACGATGCGGGACATCTCACCATGCGTCTCTTTCACTCCGTCCTCGCCCTTGCCGGCCTGCTCTCCGCCTTCGCCAATGCTCAATTCCCTTCCACCTCGGTCAACCTCACCACAATCACTTCGCCCGTAGACGGAAATGTCACCATTCGCTACAAAACGCCCAAGGGTGTCTGCAAGACCGCCTACGATACCCAGCAACAATACACAGGATGGATCAACGTCCCCGGCCCTTACCCAGCAAACATGTTCTTCTGGTTCATCGGCGCCCGCGAACCCACAGAGGCCATGACTATCTGGCTCAACGGCGGCCCCGGTGTCAGCTCTCTCTTTGGCATGTTCACCGAGGTCGGTCCTTGCGAGGTTATTGAGAAGGGCCTGAACCAGTACGACACTGTGGCGCGAGAATGGGGATGGGACCGCGCTTCCAACATGCTCTTCATCGACCAGGTAAGTTTCTGGCATCTTCTGGTCCGGCAAGCACTAGTTGGCAACATGCTAACACTCCCCAGCCGAACCAAGTTGGCTTCTCGTATGACAT